GCACAAATTTTTGTGCACCGGGCCTCTAGTATATATATAAAGAGCCAAGGGCTGTCATATCGGAAACAACTGAACAGACGACCAAACAGGCTGTGGGTGTCCAGGCCGGCAGGGGGGTTAGTGAGGGATGACCAAATGACCGAGCAGCGGGCTGCATGGAGCGACCAGGCTGGCAGAGGGGGCAGTTGGGGGTGACCAGGCCAGCATGGAGGGCAGTCAGGGGCGACCAGGCCAGCAGGGGGGGCAGTTGGGGGCAACCCGGATTGGAGAGGGTGCAGGTAGGGCTGAGGGGGACTCCCCTCCCCCCCCGCCGTGCATGAATTTCGTGCACCGGGCCTCTAGTTTTCTTATAAATGATTCATGAATCTGTACATTACTATAAGAGACAGGGAAGGAAATTCTCTCTAAATATTGGGAGCACAGGTATAAATTGGCTACTTACTACCAATGCTGAGAAGTAAATATGAATGAGCATATCACCTAAGTGGGTTAATTATTAAATCTATCTTAATATTTTTATCCTTAAAGATAAAATATTTAGTAAGAACAGAAATATTAAAAATCACACAGGGATGATCACATTTACAAAGCAAACCAATCTCAAAGTTAATGATAATGAAAAATGCCATTTTAAGGGTATAGCAAATTGTTAATAGTTTATGTACTCAATGGATTATACACATCTATATATAGAAATATAGGTACAAAATTTTGTGTTATTTAAGTATGCTTTTTCCAAAAATGTCACATGATCTTTATTCAGTTATATATTTCTGTACAAACACAAACTAGTGGAAGTCACTCTTGTCTCAGAAAATATAGTTATTGCTGTTCTCTAGAATAGTTCCTCTAACAGGTTTTGACTGCATTACATTTGCTATATATTTAAGTCACAGTATTATTTACTATCATCCAGCTTATGAGTGTATAATTATATGAGCACCACATGAGAGCTCTTACGGCTGAACTGGTCATTTTCAGCCATGAAGACAAAGCAGTATCACTCACAATGGTTAAATTTATTTTTCTGTGATCAGCACCATGTTATGGTTTACTCATGTACATGAACCCTCAAGCTGGACAATCTAAATTTACAGTAACACATCGCTTTCAGACATTAAATTACAAAAAACCATTATTATGGCTCGGTTTAAATGATGATATCAGCAAGGCTGTCATTTGAGCCTTTTGTACGTGTAGATTTCCTGTAAGGCATTCATAATGTTGATAGGCAGAATAATATTATATTGCATGTAGGATTTGGGGTTTGTCTCAAGTTGCTAATGTTTTCTCCATTATAGTCTATTTCTTTGGCTAAACAATGAAATCATTTTCTTCTTGTATAGAAAACAGATATTTACTTGAAGAGTGAACTGATTATCCTGTCTTAAAATAAAATTTCTAACTACATATCTGAATCCAAAACAAATACCATTTGAGTCTAAATTGCAATATTTGATACTAATGCCCAAATATTTAAGATACTTGTGGGTGAAGAGAGAAAAAATGCTTACATTGTTTACTATTTGCTAACTTCTTTAAGAAAGAGAAACTATTGAACCAATGATATATAACAGCTTTCTGTCAAAGTATAGACTTCACTGATTTCCAAATATAGCTCTATTTCTCTTTTCTATACAAAGGACATGTTTTTATTTCATTCCCATGTTTCTCTCTCACATAGATGTTTTTTTCTCTGTCCCTTCCTTTCTCTCAAAATCAATAAAAATCACATCCTTGGGTAAGGTTAAAAAAAAAAAAAGAAACAATGAATGTTTTTTTTCTCTGTCCCTTCCTTTCTCTCAAAATCAATAAAAATCACATCCTTGGGTAAGGTTAAAAAAAAAAAAAAGAAAGACAATGAATGTGGAAAATTCTCCAAATGAGCATCTTTGTCATTACTATTTAATCTCTAAAGAATAAAATACTACCTATGGGAATTTAGGAAATAGTTAATCTATTCAGCAAACATGCTTTGCTTTCATGAAGTTTGGAAATACTTTGGATAATTTAAATAGTAAAGATATTTTTAATGAAATTTCTAGCATGTGAGCCAAAGATGAGTATAAGTAGGCCAAGAAATACCATATACATTGCATTTTTGGCTTTTTGTGAGAGAATTAGGACATTGCTAGAGATCACCAAGATATTCTTTAAATGGCTACTAATTTTAAACCATGATACATTTTTCCTGTTTGTATTGTTTTATTGAGGTATAATTGATATATAAGTTTCAGGTATACATAACATACTTTTTGATATATGTATATATTACAAAATGGTTGCCAGGATAAGGCTAGTTAACATGTGTCACCATATATAGTTACAAAAGTGTTTTTTTCTTGTGATGATGGCTTTAAGATACACTCTCTTAGCAACTTTCAAATGTGAAATAGAGTATTTTAGTCCTTTGATGCAATCATAAGGAATTGCTTTCTTAATTTCTCTTTCTGATAGTTTGTTATTAGTGTATAGGAATGCAACAGATTTTTGTATATTGATTTCATATATTGTCACTTCACTAAATGCATGTATTAGCTCTGACAGCAGACCTGTGACACATGGTTTAATACCAGGCACCATATTAACTTTAAAGAACTGTAAGCTTGTTTCAGTTCTTTGTTTATTGCAAGAACATGATTCAGGCCATGATTTGTGACATTAGGACGATGATGTGGAATCTGTTTCCATATACATCTTAGAAAGAGTAACTGGGGTTATAATAAGTGGGAGAGTGTGAGAACAAATGAGTGAACTCATATTTCAGCACAAACCTGAATGAGATACCTCAAATAGGCAATGGCAGTCCACACGTAGTCTAGGATTTTACTTGAGAACTATTTCTTGTTTGTTAAATAAGTATGCTTGTTGGTCAAAGCCAACGTCTGAGAGCTTTACAGGGAGGGAGCTAATCTCCAATTCTTTCATGTCATAGAAGAGGCTGCTAAGTTTCTACGGCTGTGGTAAGACGCCCTTTGTGGTCCCCACATCACTGTCTTCCTTAGAAAGTAAGGGCTTCAGCACCAAATCTGTTTAATAGACTAAAGATTGTGTTCCAGGTTTTACAGATGCCAACCTCTGGAATGATTTACTACAGGGAAAAAATGGTCTTACAAACAGTTATGGAAATAATTTCGAAACATCACTGCTATCATAATTAGGAGTCAAAAACAGATATGCTTGTAAATACAAAGAGTGTCCACAAAAATCACTTTTAATCTGAGATTTCATTTGGAATTTGCTTGCCTCATACTTTTGCCCAGATTCAGACCTGCAGCCCCGTGCAGAGGGAAGATCTCAGCGTAATGAGTCCATAAATTCTATGTAGAAATCTAAGGAAGCCACAGAGCTCCTGATTACATCTTAAAATGACATGGAGGCACATAGGTTTTGGAACACAGATACTGAAAATCCTGGTTTAAAGAATGGGAGTTCTCTTTATAGCTCGTGAATTTAAATACAAAAGACTTCCAAATTATCTAGCCCAGGCCATCCCTCTCTACTCCAGATTTCATATTTCTAACTTCCTACTCAACATCTCTACTTGAATAGCTTATAGGCACCATTCACTTATCAACTTTCTCCCTACAAACTTACTCCTTCGACAGTCTGCTCTTTCTCATTAAATTCCATCTACATATTTCCAATGCTCAGTTCTGAGAACTTGGTTCATCTTTGAGGCCTCTATTTCTTTAACATCCACACGTACTACATTAGCAGATTCTATGAGCTCTGTCCAGAATCAAACCACTTTTGCCACCTCCACCTCTATCATCCCTGTGAAAGTCACCATTATATTTCACCTGGATCATTAGAGTAGCCTTTTTGCAGCTTCTCTCTCCTCTCCCCTCATCCTCCTTCTACTCCAGGTCTGCAATCCCAGACAAAACCAACCCGGTCTTATTAAACAAAAGTCAAATTATCGCTCACATATTAATAATCTCTCTATAGATTTCTATTTCAATTCAGCTTTAAGAATTTCTGAACCTCCTCTTTGAAATGTTATTCTTCCAAATAATGCCATGGTTCCATTCTTCTTCACATTCAAGTCCTTGTTCAAATATCTCATCCTTGGTAAGGCCTCCCTGTCCACCCATTTAACATTGCCACCCCCTGCTTCCCACACCCCTTATCTCTCTTCTTTACCATTTCATAATTCATACACCTTCCCATTTTTTTACATACTAGAGGGTTTTCTTATTTATTATCTGTCTTCCCCCTTTAGAATTTATTATCCCACAAGGCAGGGATTTTTGCCTTTGAGTTGTTGTTTTTAGAGTGATATACCTAGCTCTAGAACACTGCATGTCAAATAAGTGTCCGGTGATACAAACTTGTTGAACTAATAGATAAAAGCATCAGAATCATCTTGATATGCACAAGTGCAAGGATTGTTTAAACTGCCAATGTCCTTAAAGGCCTGTATCTATGACATGCAATAAAGTATCTATAAAATAACATCCAGTGATTTACTTAAAAGATCATTGGTCATGGCCGGTCCTATTTGCTCTCTCCTGCTGACACTAATTTTTATAGGTATTGGCCCTGTCATCCATCATGACCCATATCAAGGTATGACTGAAAATATCTGTGACATTGGCTGGTTCTAAATTCTGCATATTTTTTGTTCTACAGTCAATTTCAGTTCTGGTGGTCCCTTCTAAACGGGTGCAAGTTGGTTCAGAGTTTCCTGCCTAAGTCTTTGCTTAGATAAAAGACACTGCCTCAGACTGCCTTGTTCTCTTAATCTAACCAGCTACCAGGCACTCATCATTCTAAAGAGTAAAGAATGCTCATCAAGTTTTCAAAAAAGCAACTCAGGATACCCATCTTGGAGCAATGTTCCTTTTGTTTAATTTTTTAAGTATTTAAAAAATATATTTATAGTGATTTTTTAGAGAGAAGAAGGGAGAGGGAGAGAAAGAGAAATGTCAATTCAAGAGTGACACATCCTTCAGCTGCCTCCTGCACGCCCACTATGTGGGCTGGAGCCACAACCCAGGCCTGTGCCCTCACCCTGGAACTGAACTGGCAACCCTTTGGTGAGGATGACCACTGAGCCACACTGGCCAGGGAACTAGCACAAGCATTCGATTACAGGAGAATTAAGTGGCACAGGGAAACCCTAGAAAGGTGGGATTTAATAATATACACAAGCACATAACATGAAAAGAAGATTAAAAATTAGCTAATGTAAAAAAAAATAAAATAAAGATAAATTCTGATAGAAATATTTGTTGTATCACAGATGGGGAATTGTGTGGCAGAGGTGCCTTAAAAGGAGGGGGGAAAAAATTTCCAAAGTATGGTATTCTAGTTAACATATTCCTGAGAATCTCAAGTTATACAGCGCTACCGTTTTCTTCGTTCAAAGACTATTCCCGGTGCTTTTAGTGCCGGTTTGAAAGCATACTACAATTGTCTGGTGACATCAATTTTGATTTTCAGCTGAGTGCTTCATACTCACCGCTTCCCGGTTGGGTAGAACCGAGAGCAGGAATGGCCATCCCAGGCGCAGTAAGGGTCCCTGGCCAGGCAGCAGTCGGCGCAGGCTGTGCCGTAGATGTGGCAGCGATGCAGGGACACTTGGGAAACCCCTTCGTTGGAACTCACATACAACTGTTGCTATGAGAAGAATGATGATGATTTATTTCAGATGCGGAAGTTAAAAGGGAACTTTCAGCAGGAACACATTATAATATATGCCCACAGACCCCTGGATTCATTTTGAAACTAGACTGAAAACAAGAAGCAAAGTCCAGAAGGATATAAAGCCAAAATAAATAGAATTTTTTTTACGTTAATATGCCTATAACATTACCACTTTCCTGTTTAAAGGAAAAAGCTCAGAGTATCATGTAGAATGGTAATGTGTTTTAGACATTGGGATTCATTGTTCTCTCAGATTTGAGCTAATATATTACAGATTTAAATTATGGTGTTTGCTTTTTTCTTTGAATGCTGTCTTTTTGCAAAGTACAAGGCAGCTTTCTTATTCTTCAAGTCTGGCAACCCATCACGTTGTAAATTTGAAAAAATGAAGTCTAAAACACAAGACATTTTTAAGAATAGATGAAAAAGTAGATAGTAGTACATAAAATAAAAAAAACATTTTTCACATGCCTTTGAAAGTGACATATTTCTCATTAGGTGATTTTCAAATTATTGAGTAGAATATAAGTATTTATAAGTAGACATGTCTTAAACTTTCTGTGTATCCAGAGCTATTCAGCACCCTAAGTCATAAATGAAGATTTTATCCTTCTTTTGTAGGGTGTCAGGAGTTTTTATGATACTGCTCTAATTCCTGCAGCCTAGCATAAAGTGGTTCTCAGGAGTTGATGGGGTAAGTTTCTAATTGACACTAAATATTTTACGAAGGACTGACGTGTGATTCCAAGTTAGCATAGCATCTCTAAGCTGGATCTTGGGTACATGCACATACACATTCACACACATGTGCACATACACATTCATCTACACATATTTATATTATGTACATATATGTATATGCTGCTTAGAATTAAATCAGTGGGGACATCATTGTCCAGCAGGCTCTGGGGGCATACTTCTGGGATTCAAACCCTGGCTCAACCAAAATTTTGCTGTGTAACTTTTTGGAATCTCAGCTTCCTCTTTGCTAAAACTGGGATAATAGAGCATGTACCCTATAGAGTTTTTGTAAGAAATGAATGTAACAGCTAACTCTACATAAAATTTTTAGCATATTTTCTGACGCCTATAAGCTCAATGAATGTTAAATAACAGTAGTAGTAGAGTATATTATCAATTTATAATTTTTCAATTCTGATAAATCATTTGAATCACACCTCACTCTATATCTAATGTAAAATAATTTTTTATTCAGATCTATTTTTTCCAAAAATTGGGCTGAAAAATATTGATCCCAAGTTGAGACATTTAAACCATAAGAAAACTGCATGTTTTGATAATAACCATTTCTCTAACAATATTTAAAGTGGTGCTTACTTAGTACATTAATAAATATCACAGTGAATGCATCAGATTCATTAAAATTTTTTGAGGAAACTGGTTTATTTGAGAAAAGGATACAGATAGTTTCATTTTAGAAATTCTTTTTTTTAAGTAATTCAACTATTTTCTGCTGCATAGAATGCAAGAATAACTTAGAGAATAAAAGTCCATAAAAATGACAATAAAATAGTCTGAGCACTAGGGAAGGTACTAATTCATGATATTTAGCCTGGCCCGTGTGGTTCAGTTGGTTGAGCATCTACCCATGGACCAGGAGGTCATGGTTCCATTCCCAGTCAGGTCACATGCCCGGGTTTTGGGCTCAGTCCCCATCAGGGGTCATGCAGGAGGCAGCCAATTGATGTTGATACATTGATATTTCTATCTCTCTCCCTTCCTATCTCTTTCAAATCAATAAAAACATATTTTTTAAAAATTCATGATATATAAACATGTGTATATATATCTATAATGTTATCATTGGCAATTTGTAGTTCTTTCACACTATAACAATGCAGTAAGCAGTTGGGCAAATGAAGTCCCCCCCAAATCAAATAATTACCCTGCCCTCTATCTAATTAATTTAATGAAACATTTGTAATTATCTACATTTTAAGGTGTTGAAAGCATTTAATACTCAGTTTTTTTCTGTGTGTATGTGTGTGTGGTATATTGCAGTTTTATGGAATGGACTGTGAACTACAAGTTCACAAGTTGAATTAAAAGTTGAAACCTGTAACTGTATAGTGAACAACTACCATGCCATACAAATGGCTTCATGTTCATTTTGAATTTTGCTCTAATACTTTCGCTTTCCATTAAACTACAGTAAACAAAGGGTTTTCCTGCTGCTGACTTCAAAGACAATTCTGACTAGGAATCAGCTCTCTAGGACATTGGGAGAAATGATAAATGGCTTCTTGTTACTTGGGAAAATGTTTGTTATGCACCATACAAACATTATTACAGATGAGATCTTTAGTTTTGTTTTACCCTATTTATTTTTCTTCATAAATTTAGTCAAGTGAAAACTAGGACAAGACTGACTGTGGATTACTTGTTCATCTGCATCAGACCAAATATGGTGAAGAACACCAAAGTTATGTCATCAGATGTGCTAACACATAAAACCTTTATTCTCTATTCCAAGAAAAATGAGTCTTAGGCTCCTACAAACAGCAGTTACGAAAGACCCACTTTATTTTGGGCCATTTATATAAATTAATTTGTGAGAAACGCATTACCTTGTAGAGGCAGAAACTTAGCTCAGTGAAGTTAGATGATTCATTTGTAATTTACGGTCAGGTTAAGATTCAAACGTATGCCATTCCTGCTCTTAAGCCTACTCCACTTTTTATTATACTGCTCTGGCCCTTACAGTGTTTGCTTTGGGGTACCATTATACCATTAGGGATGGACATGTAGAGATTGGAACGGCACTTTTCTGTGATCCTTGTATATTTGCATGTGCAGGCACAAAGGAGAAGGTTAAACATTGCTGGTAATCACAGTCGGACACTTCTTCACCAAATCCTGAACCTGGTTATGGCTTAGATTGGAAACATTCAGATTTTTTTTAATGACATGTATAATCCTAAAAAATAGCCTTTTCTTAAAAACAAGCTTAAGAATGCATTTCATATTTTAAACATGTGACAGAATCAGGAACTCAAAAGAGGATTAATTACTCAATCTGAGCTCCTGAGAATGTGATATTATAGTGGCCCAACATTATGCTAAATTCTTTCTTCAGAAAGGTTTTTATTTATTTATTTTGGTTGGCTTAACACACAGTAATATTTGAGCATATAGGATATACAAAATGTTGGGCTATCATGCTGTACATACGTGTGTTTTGCTCTGATGGACTTTTGTACAAAAATAAACCTATTTTTGTCTCCACTAATAGCTAGTGAATTCTACATCAAAACTAAAAGTGATTTTGTGGTATTCTGTAAATAGTATTAATTATTATGCTAATATTAAAATTTATTTTTCAGAAATTATAAGTACACTTTTTCATAGTAGTAAAATTTTTTATATGCAAAGAAAATAAAAATGAGGTTGATTTTACCTTTTTAGATGAAATTTTCATTGTTGTTATAGGAACATGATTCTGAAAAAAGAAAAATATTGTTAGTTGTTCAAATAATCATTCAAAATGATTTTGCATTCAAAACAATTTCTCTTTTCTATTGAAATTCAAGAAATCATTATTTCTCTCTAAATGTATATATACTTTCAAAGTCTAGCAATACTTGTCTATAATATATTTCTTCTGGGGTAAGGATGGATTTGTTACACAAATATATGCCTAAACTAAAACAAAAGTTGCAATTATAACACATATATCAATATAGTCATTAGAAAAAAAAAGACAATTGGAGAGAACTGAAAAAAGTGTATCTTGGAATAATGAATCCAATGAGTAATGCAGGATTAATCTGGGTATCTGGGTGGGGGACTGTGGAATGGTACCCCATCTTATTCCATACACAGCACTCTGCATAAGACACAATTGTTCACCTGACATACTTATTAATTCTTTTTGCTGCAAAATAATGTTGTCAGGGATCCTCTTCATAAAAAATTGCTATTTTAAGAGAAAGAAGGAGAGATAGAGAGAAAAACACCAATTCTCGTTGCCTCCTGCATGACCCAACCAGGGATCAAACCTGAAATATGGGCATGTGCCTTGAATGGGCATTCAACCCCTGTCTCTCGGTGTTCGATGCTCCAACTAACTGAGCCACATCAGGGCAAGGATCCTCTTTTAATAAATGTGAACCAGTTAAAGAATCTAAGAATTTTCTGAAATAGTAATCCTTTTTGAAAGCCACTCTATTTATAAATTTACTTCTTAAATATTATTAGTTACTTTTAAAGATTAAAAATTAGATGTGATAACCTAATGAAAGTCTGAAATTTTACTTGATTAACTCAAGTGGGAGCAACCTTTCAAAATCAACTGTGCCCACAATGATTTCACTTTCTGAAGCTGTATGTTCTAACATTTGAAAGATAAAATGGCAATATCTCTAAACACTATTGTAACAAGTTTGGCTCATTGCTTAGAAATACACACACATACAGGGAAACCATAAAAATCTTAGAAGACTCCATAGGCAGCAAAATAGTAGACATACGTCGTAGCAATATCTTTACCGATACAGCTTCTAGGGCAATGGAAACTAAGAAGAAAATAAACATGCCGAACCGGTTTGGCTCAGCGGATAGAGCGTCGGCCTGCGGACTCAAGGGTCCCGG